TAGACCCTTATGTTCAAATAGCATTAAATTTTGCTTTAGGGTTATTTTTTTAAAACCGATGATTCGTATCCGCTACTTAATTATACAGGCTTATTTTTAATGCTTTTACAGTTGGTTTGATGGACGGTCTTAGCTGAGTACATTATAGTTGTTTTTAATGTATAGTTACTTGTTAGAGAAAATGTCAAGATAGCAGTAGGTGGCCTGGATTGCATCAACTGCTGTGTGGACATGTCCTGGCGCTGGAAAAGAGGGGTGAAGGGCAGAAGGCCTGCCCAGCTGGCGAATTTGTCTGACCCCGACACGCGCACGTATGTCAACTGAATGACCCAGGGGCCAAAGACGAAGGAGGAACACGGGATCTCTTCTCTAAGTTAGGTTTCAATCATACGACCAATCATCTTAAAGTTCTCTCGAATCCCATCAAATCCGTATGAAAAATGTCACAATAGTAAAGTATCTGATTAAAAAGTGAGATGACTTCAAATAGTTTGTTTCCGACGATGCATAAAAAATTGCTTTTCACATTTGTACGCAGATTGCTTTGAGGACATTCAGAACACCAAAGCAAAATGGTATCCAAGGTGCTACTTATTATCAGTATCTTAGTGGACAGGAATCAGTGCATCATAACTCCTGTTATCTTTTTGCGAGAAGTAATGACATTGTTAAATTCGTTTGACGAAACGCTCCTAGTGCTTACTGGAGCTTAGACGATAAGTTAAACTTAATTTATGTAGCGTATTACTATGTCTTGATTCGTACCTACAAATTCTAAGAGAAATAATTGTCTAAAGCCGTGCTTCATTGGATTGTGGGATCAAGGAGGTCGCACTACTGAATTGCACAATATGAGGGACACTTCAGAGCGTGTCTTAGGCTTGCAGATTTCACCACTCACACATGCGCCAGAAACTGAACCATTCAACTCGCTGAGACAATTGGTAAAGGCAACACAAAAGGATCGTACATGCACATCGATTAACGCCACAAGCCTCGGCTTTTTAATCACACATACATGTACGCATATGCAGAGAGCCTACTTTTTCACAATTTCCGCCCATTTGTGCTGCGGCATATCAAAGAGTGCATTTTGGCGCGGGTACCACACCGAGAACCAGAAAGGTGGGAGGGGATTGGGTGGTGGCAGGAGTGTGCGAGGGGCAGAGGAGGACTGTTGGCAGAGCAGGACAGATTACATCCTACGCACGCTGCGTCTCCTCTTTGCGACCGCGCGTTTCCTGCCGTCCGGAGGCATCATAAATTTTCCAGACCAGGTGGAACGTTTTTGACTCTAACGGATCGCTGCAACTTAGCCAGCGCAGGAACAAGAGTGTCGGAGAAATCCTGCCCTATTTTTCATTTCAAAACCATTATAGGGTTGGTAATTTGCCCGAAGAATGCAATTAGTAAAAATGCCTCTTGATTTTCTCAATGCGAATAACCATGCTACACATAATCGTGGCGAAGTTATTAAAATGACACATAATAGTTTGTTTTGTTTTGGACCCACCTTACTGAACTGGATTTTGGAGCTTCATTTTGAAAGTACCATCATTTTTATGACTTCGTATGCTTTTTTACTAATCACTCCTATTATCGCAACCGGTGAAACATTTTGAGTGGCTAAAACACTATTGATAATCTTTCTCGGTAGATAAAACCTTTGGAAAGGCTTATCTGCCCGTTGAATGAAATGGTTATAAAAAAATACTTCCAAGTCTTGGCCTATTCATCAATAAAATTTAATTCACAATGCACGTAGTTGCGCCATTCATGATTTTCTTTCCACGAGGTGCGCACCATACGGATGTTTTTACCTAGACTTACCAATCATTCATAAAATTACTTATTTCAGCTTTGGTCTTGTTCTACACCAAATATAGCTTACTCTTACACTGTGCACTTAGTGCGAATACAATTCTTAGAAAGAAAATGTTTTAGAAGGACGCTAAATGCAAGAAATCAGTCATTGTAGCAGATACAGGAACCAAGGCAGGAGCTGCTTGCCATAGGAACCAAATGCCTCCCGTCTGCACTCGATCCACTCGACTTAATTAGTCAACCTCTCCAGAGCATCGATGCTCTAAGTATTACGGAACCCAAGGCTACGACATCTCTTGCTGCCACCGCATTAGGCTTTAGTGCTATAACGGTCCCACCACGATGCAGTGCCATTAGATGCTAGGGTGTGAAGGCGATAGACATTTGGCATTAGCAACTATTCCTTTAAAATTTTATTGAATAAGTACTTTGAGGGACTTTATTATTTCATCCGCATGTAAAATGTTTATTATTTTCCTTTAAAATAGTAGTATGAAATTAATGGGGTCGAATTAAGCACTTCGAGTTAAGGCTTGTTAAAAAGTATGATTTAATAAGGAAAGTAAAACTGGTGAGATTAGTCAATTCTGAAGGAAAAGGGAGGAAAGGCAGTCCAAAATCACTGTTTATTAGCACACGATTTAATGCATGCCAATGTCTACTGTTTGCCCAACGCTACAAGAATGGAATCTGTGACATTATTTAAGTTGAGTGAATGCGTAAAAATGAGGTTGGGTGGCGATGAGAGTGGGTTCATTGTTTGACGGTGTAACGTGTGACATACCCTTAACCCGAGTTACTGACTTTTTGGGTTTAACCTCTCAGTGGGTTTGTGGCAAATAGCCCATCCGCTCTTGCTGCTGCTGATGGGTGTGGTGGTTGTAAGGTCGCGGGGTCGGTGTGAGGATCGGCATGTCGTTAATGGGTTGCTGAGGTTTGCTAGCAGGAGTGACGTTAGTGGCGCCTTGTTGCACTTCTGATGGTGAGCCCCGGGGATGATTGCGCCTACGTCGCAATTGACGCCGCCGTCGTCGCTCCTCAGGGCTCAGATGCGGCCGATTGCGACGCATTTGACGGTTTCGAGGGCGTGAACTCTGCACTGAGTTGAGAGGAGACAGACCAACAGCAGTCCTTGTGTGTGTTATTGGATTGTGATGCATTAGATCTACTTTGCAAAGGGAGTCCGGACGACGGCGAATATCCCTGATGGCACGCTTTATCCCAGTATTCTGTCTAGAGGGTTGAGATAGGTGCTGAATCTATAAGATTTAAAAGAAAAGAGTTAGAGAAACTGACACAATGTTAACTTTGAGCATTCTTCATTGTAATGTAAAGCGCAGCTAGACTGGTGGTGGACGAGGTTACATGGATTCATTGCTACCCTTTTTGCAAACTTCGATCGAGGAGGAAATGCACTGTAAATTCGAAAATTGCACTTCTTAAAGATTGCCAAAATATCAGTAATGTGTTAAATATTTTTACCAAAGCTTACTGTAACTGTTCTTTTGTCTTCATTCAGTTTGCCCATCATGAGCCACCGACCTGGTCCCTTTTCTCGCGTTAAGGCTGCTTTGATAATTGGACAGTCACACTCCATTTGGAAGACCAAATTCGCGACAGAATTAATAGTCTTGGGTAGCTTAAAAGTGCCCACTCTGCCAGTGGTTCTGATCCTGTGAGTTGAGTTGTGGCCACTTGAAGGGGTTGTGGGCATGAGATCCAGCACTTTGGCTCGAATCACTGAAGAAATAAATTTACTCCTGCTTCACCTGAACCAGTGCAGGACAGCCCACTAACGTTAAACAGAATAGGTGGCATGCTTTGCTGCTAAATAGGGATAGTTTAATGTTTTCTCGGCCTTTGAGCATGACTATTTCTAGGATGAATGGAGAATGCAGACTATATTGGTGAGATGCATTTCCCATGTTTAAGGCGACATGTGCCTAGTCTTGCTGTGTTTTATGCTCAATGCCTAAATACCGGGTAACTTCTACATTATGCACATTCGGAAATAAGTAGAAGAGCATAATACAGCGTTATCAAAGGCCAAACTTAAAGTGATAGCTAATAGGCAGCTAAAAGCTTTCAATGTCTTATGACCGTTGTGCTACTCCGAAAGGATAGAGAGTTTCGCCAATAGCTCTCGGGAGGACATCAAGAGTACAGCCGTTATATTTTCAACTTTCCAATTAAGTATAGTAAAGTATGTTAAAGTAAAAGGTTTTTTAAGCGCCAGTCCTGGGCCAAAGACTCTCCATAGTGCAGAGCTTATTTGGCTGCTACGATTTCCTTGACGCAAAGAAGTTGGTTACTGGCATGCAGGTCACATGTACATTTGACCAAAAAAGCCTACGCAAGGTGTTGTTTGTACCCACAATCATTGAAAAGGCGGAATGCTTAAATTTTCGTGTTGATGGAAATGCTCTTACCGACGTCGGCTGTGCAAAAGCTGCCAATAGCGCTTTCGTAGGTTGGTCTATCGATGCATCCTGAACAGCGAGTTCCTGCAGCATTTGGAATGCGGAGTGATCGCTTAGTTGCAAGCATGTAGAACGGCAAAATATTGCTATATTTCATGCAAACTACACACACGCATGTTTCAAGGCGATCTTTAAAAGGGAAACTTTTACAGAAGAGACGGTTGGCAAGTCGTCTTACAGAAATCATCTTCAAAGCACAGAAGCCAGAAGCACACCTAAGCACACGTTTAGTGACAGAAGGAAATTGCCTTTTAAACTTTTCGAAAGGGGTTCATAAATAAAGCAACCTCCGAACTTAATCATGAAAGTTAACTGAATTTTGTCTAAGAGAGAACTATTTTCTTATTTTCTCGATATCAGAACCGCCGTTAGCATCACCAAAATTATTGTTCATTGCCATCACAATTAAAGAGGTTAAATGTGGGCTCATTTAACTTGGTAATGCACCATAGAACATGCTAAAAGAAAAGTGGGCATATAATTTAGTTCAAATTTCCGAAAGACAAATCACTGTACGGCAATCCCTTCCCATGAGTCAGCCCGTAGGTGATGAATGATATCGAAGAACAGCCGCTCCTACTTGACACATGTCCTTCCTTGGCCTCGGTAAAATGCAACAGCCTGCTGCGATGAAAAGCAATTTACATTGTGTGCGAAATGCTCATTTTGACCGAAACGCAGTGTACAGTTCCCTCTCTAAGGACTTTTTCACTATCATTCACCATGCGCACTGACATCCTCTTTTTAGATACCCAATGCTCCAGCTTTTACTAAGCGCTACACACATTTTATGCAAAAGTTGTTAATATTTCATTCATTAAATAGCATAGACAGGAAAATGGACCAGTAGGATCTGAATATCTTAGAATGTCTTAATTATTTAAAAATAAGCAATATGAGTGAGACTTTAGGCTGTGGCAAACATTTCTATTTTGGGACAGTGAGTAGGACGCTGGCGAATTAAGCAGTCCAAATGCTACATGCCACAAAGGACATTTGTAATGCATCACGCTGATGCAATCTCCAATGCCTGCAAACGCCAACCAACGTGAGACAACAGCACTACACTCAAACGCTGTCTGCGGAACGACTTTGCTCTGCGACAGCTATAACAACCTTTAGATTTGATAAGAAGCCAGCAATAGCAGCGGATTGCTTGACCACTGCTTTTCAAAGCCTTTGGAGCTCAATACATACGCGTCCCGTTATAATGCTCAAGCGCTCAAACGTCTTTTGCTCTGTAAGCCGCTAAAAATGCTGCGCTTACACAAGCACTTTCCGGCATATTGAATAGGACTTTCAATGTGACTTTGCTCTGCAGTACCATCGGTGTAGCAAATGGTTAATATGTGGCCCTGTTTACGTTCACACGTAATGAACACGAAAAAAAGGTAACAAAACAACTCCCCACACATCTCCCAACCAGACAGAACACAAGATGCTGACGGCCATGGCAGACATAACTGATGGCTTTTCAGGTGTAGCTGAATTTACAATCGTATTACAGTCGAACTCTAAGTATGTTAAAATCTGCATCACACATTTCCAAACGGTACAATACTTTGGAGACTTACAAATCCACTACCAGTATTTGTCCATTAAAGGGCTGCGAATTCACATTTTGCATACGAATAAACAAAGCGATGGCAAGCAAGGCTTCGGCTTGGGGAATTGGAGGCTATTAGTTCTTGTGGTAATAGAAAAGGTAAGAACAAATACCTGTTTGACTACTTGCAGTCAGACAGCATTCTAATACCGAAAGTTTTCATGAGCGGAACACCATGATACCAGATTTTGGCAAAGCAAAAAATCAAAGTTGAAGAGACGGTAATTACATCGCTACCATAGCATGCGTACATAACCAAACCTTCAAGCAAAGCATCATAATTTGGTTTAGAAATCACCTGGATTCAAAATAATCGTCTTATCTACATGAAGGGAAGATGGAATTATGATGTGAATCAGTCGAACAATTGTCATACAATCTAAAATGCATCGAGAATCTTACTAAAGGCACAACAGAAATTGGCAATGATAACTTTCGTTGATAAGAACAGTTTCTATCCGCTGGATATCGTGGTAAAGGAAGATATCAGACTAACGCAGATGAAAATTGGCAACTTATCAACAACTCATGGGTTACATGGGCAAAAATTGTACTTACACATTTTAATAGATAAGTTAGTTGCTCCTACTGAAAAGAAGGTGGCTTTTGAGATTCAGTGACTTTCCTATTGATGGCACATAATGCTGCCTCGACATCCCGCGATTACCTTCCACATTCAAGGCTTTCAAAATTGCAAAATCCAATGACATTGGTAAATACAGCAAACACCTGCCCATTCAGTCGTAACCCTATCTAGAATTTCAAATTATCTACTTCCCTAATAACGCTTCTTTTACTTTAATAATTTTACTTGGTTATTGTTTTACGTTGGCGACTATATATGCATACATATCTCTCCTTTGAATTGACAACACTATCTCACTTTTCTGTTTGTTGAGTGGTATGCATAACTCTTGCGGAGATTGGGGAAATTTGGAACACTTGACGATATCAGGCCACCCGAGACCGAATGTGGTCATAGTAGGCAGACAGGCGGCCCGTACACTTTCGCACAGTTCCCGACAAGGTTGAATCAACTTCTCGTGGTAGCCGTTAATGCAGACAGGAGCATAAAGAGAGCAGAGGAAACGCTTTAACTCATCATGACAGCCGAGGTTGACCAGAGTCAACCACACCTCCGACTGTGTAATTGCCTCGTCCAGAGTCTCATGCTCCAGGCTGTTCGGTAGCACCATGAAATCGTAGCCAATCTTGTGACACAGCTTCATCCCCCGTGGGATCTTGTAGCAACGCTGTGAGCCGTATCCGCTCACCAGACGGTTCCAGTCCGAGAAGTAGGGTGATTGGGGTGGCTCATTTGAAATCATGTCAGCATCAGCAGTGGTGAGACGGGACAATGCGGCTCCCCCAAATGGAGAACTAGTTACAGCTGTCTTGTTCTTCGCGGCGCCTCCTCGATGCCAATTCCATCGGCCTACCGTGTTCGCATGGGCTGCTGATATCGCAAGGAGTATCGCTAAGAGAAGCATTCTGTGCTGTGGAAGCGTGTTTGTGCGCGACCCCGACCTTTATAGCAGGCCAGAGTGCGCACATGCCGCTTCTCATACGGGCACGTTTTAATCCCACTGCTGATTGGATGGATGAGGTGTGTTGTATGCATGTGTGCGCCTTGCGCACACATTAAATGACTGACGGACAGTGTGGGAGGATGCGGAGGTGTGGAGAGATGATTGATTGGACGATGCAGGGCTCGGAGCGAAAGTTCCAACAATGAACCGTTTGTATTGCTTGAGACAAAAGACTGCATTTTGGAGGCTATCTATTCGTGAGATTTTAAATGCATTTAACTCTATCAAATGAATAACAAATTTGGGGAAAGATCAAGTAAATCCATTTGTCAGTGCTATCACAATCCATACATTCTACAGTAAACAAACTTATTTCACTCAGCCTTGGCTAAGCTAATGTGTGCACAATTATCTGGTCTTCATCATTCAACTGACAATGAAATCACACATACAATTAGTATTTACGTAAAGAAATGTTTGTTTGCTCTAGAAAAGGAGGTTGATGTGAATCGCCACATCGTAGAGATAGAATTGTAGTGTTACGAGATTTGCTGGATAAAAATTGCGTGGATCGCCGTAGTCAAAGGGCAATGGCAATGACCAACCAAAAAACTCTACGCCCAACATATATTTGACTCAACCAAACAACGATAATAGCGTCTAGAATAAAAAGTTACTGGGAATGCGTATCTTAGAATTCAAAATCATTCCTTTTTCCCAAGGCTGGATGAAGTGCTTAGGACATTTGTTTGTTTGTTTGCCCTTCCCCAAACCTAAAGACTTCACTTGTAAGTTGCTTTTCAATCCGAAATGAAAGGGAACTTATTCATTTTACATTTAAAAAATGATGCCTTTTAAGGATCATCCAAACAGTTTTCTCGTCATACTTTGAAATGGCAGTTGTGCTTTCATATCTGACTGGTTTAACTGATTGTGACAAGAAAAGTGGCGCTTCAGTAGAATACTGATGTTATCGGCCCTTCGTAGCCAGACATCGGTAGAACGGCACAAAAATTATTCAAAGCTTATGGTATTTGAAAGGTTTGCTCTGATGCAGCCAAGGCAATGATCGAGATGAGGAAAGTAATGAGGTATTTCAAAACAGTGGTTTAACCAATCTCACTAATTGGACGCCTGCCAGATGCACGTTGGTGCTGTTGATATTTGCCAACTAGACGCTCCACGCACTACCTGGGAAAAGGTCGCTTGCAGTTAATTCGACGCTATCAGTGGTTAGATGTTGGGTTGAATTAGTGCACTTTCCATCCATTTATTGATGGTTTTTTAAGTCCACGTTCTGCGGTGCCTCACTCCGTATTGCGTGACTGCTTCGATTTTGCGGTATCATGTAAACTAATATCCCGACATTTAAAATGCAGTAGAATGGTATGAAATGAACCATTCATGGGGAGACATTAGACTGCTTGGGAAAGAAGGGGTAAGAAGAGACTTACATGCGGTGTATAGTTTTAAAGGAAAGAACACCATAATAAACGGTACGTAAATTAATCACACGACCAAATGAAAAGTGGGAATCTTGCCTCGCGTGCCGTTAAACGCCTTCTTTAAAAAGAGAAAAAATTCCATATGTCAGTACCTCAAAAGGATTAGCATTGCTGCATCATGTTTCAACCAAATTTACGTCTGTGTTTATAATAGACCATTAGGACTAGGAAATCTTGTTGTTTAAAGGGTCCACACACCTTCCTGGGTTCTTGGTTTCTCTTTGTTCTAAGTTGCTGTTTTTCGAATTCGCCACATATGGGCTGAAGCGAGTGGACGCAAATGCACAAACAAATTTACCGTTTGTCGTGTTCATGCATTACTCCTCAACAAGCAACTGCTGATTAATACGTCTACTAGAGGAACTTAAGTAGATTGTCCGCATGTATTCACGTTGTCTAGAAGACATTGTTCATCCAATTCCGGTTCCGAGAAAGCCAGCTATTGAAAATTATGATGTAGAATGTGTCAAAAGGAAGTGTGCAATGTGGGTTAACTGTGGACGGTGTAGTAGTGAAAATGTGCTCGAAAATTAGCACTGTCAATGTAGGCTACTTCTTCTGGGATGACATTCTTTTGTTGTACAGTAAAAAAGATTTCTACATTTATCTGGTCGGATTGCTATATGGTTTGACTTACAAAAACAGTGGCAACACTACTTGTACTAATTAGAAATCTTTAAGTAAAATTGTCAAGATGGAAAGAAATGTACCAAATGCGCTAACTGAACAAAGAAAGCAAATCTTGTGGAATGGTAAAAGTGGGCACACTGACCACAGTATCTTTCTAAGTGCTAATGGCAACTCTTGGCAGTACATTAGATGTATCAGGACCTAGAGAACTACTAGTATCCATTTGACACAAACCTTCACAAGTTTGTGTTTTGTGGAGAGGTAATCGACTGACTCACCAGCAGCAAAAGCCTCACTCATTTTTTCGTACAAACTTCTCTCCTAAAGGTGGTGCAGCGTGCATCTTATCGGCAGGGTCGGCTTTTGACGAAGCACAGAGGTAATGTTTGATTCGTAGGCATTAAAAATGTATCAAGCGCTGCGGACGACAGACCATTATGAGTCCCCTGAGTCGGTACAAGCTGCGCTAATGTGAGCGACACAACAGCATGCCCAACCAAAGGTCTTGGGGATCCCGACATTAAGCTTTCAAGAACTTTACGCGTCAGAAATGGATCATTAATTTTCCAAAATACTCCATTTTTTCTTATATGCTTGTCTATCTGATAGGGTGAACCCTTCAAAAAGTTTCTTCAATTTTGCATGCATTGTGTGAGAAAGCGAAACTCTTAGACTGTTTCTTGAATGTTAATAAAATTAGGAATAGACAAGTTAGCTTTCCCATGAGTTAGTGTGAGTAATTAAAACTTGGCATTGAACGAAAAACTGCTGTTGCAAAAACCGTTTGCAACGAACCTCCATAAATAACATTTAAAGGACAGTGGAAAATGCATTTGAAGTGGCTTTGGGTTGCGTGAAAATCCCAAAAAAATGTTTCAAACAATAAGTCAAGCAGCAGCAGCAGAAATGAAGAGTTTCAGAAGCGAATTTATATAATAAATAAAGGGGTGCTTGAGTTAATTTCTAAAAGGAAATATTTTCCAAGAACACTCCTGTCTGCCAACGATGTCCCCTGGCATTTTAAATTTTTAAATGTTAGAGAACCAAACTGCCGAATGCTCGTCACTAGGGTAGCACCAATTAAGCTGGCTATGCATCTCCCACATTTTACTAGACATAACGCATGAGAATTTGCACTTATTATTAGTACAATTTTGAAGGCAGGAATAAGGAAAGCATAGACAAACCTCACCTTGTTTGTTGAAAACCACACATTAGATGACAGTCGCCCAAATGGCAAGTAAA